TGCTGTGTGGACTACCAGCTCTCCTCTACCCTTGACCTTTTCAAACAACATTTCTTCCACCCCCTTCACTGTAAGTGAAACCTTAGTCATCAGAGCTGGGTGGGGGTAACCATGTTTTCTCCGGAGCAAGGCAGGAGGAGGTGGGGAGAAAGCTTACCCTGGGAGACCCCTCCCCACCCCCCATCTGTTCTCCTACTGAAAGCACAGCCATGGGGCTGGGGTGGAGCCTTCAGTGGATGAAGCTACTCAGCCTCCATTGCCATGGGGTAGGGGAGGGCAGGAAAGACCTAGTTTCCTAGAAGAGAGGCCAAAGGAGATGAAGAGGCAGTTTTCAGATAAAGCAATGGAAGCTCTCCAGGCAGGTTGGGCTGTGATCTCCTTGTGCAGATGAGAAAAATCCCCCTTACTCCTCACTCTGCAGGCCAATACTTTCTCTGCACTTAGAGTCTTACAGATTTGCTTAGAGCAGTGGTGGAACAGTCCCTTGAGGTGGGGGAAGCCCAAAGCAGATTCAAATGGAATTGGGAAATGCTGAGCAGAATAAACAACAGACTTCAAAGTAGGTAATGCTCATTTCTGCCTTTCTAAGTCAATTTGGCCCTCAGGGAACCTTTTCCATTGGACGTTGAGGCCCCTGGCCTGGGGTCTCCTGAAAGGTGGTAGCTTGCCCAAGGCCTGACTTGCCAACATGTGCTTTGGGACTTTGAGGCCAGACTGATTTATTATAAGGGAGGGCTTGTACTCAGAAATGGGGTGATAGATGGGGGTGATAACAAATGGGGGAAACAGTCTATTTCTTCATCGAAATTAACTTAAGTGCACGTGGTCAGACAGCAGGTTTAGATGGTGTGTTCAATCCAATAGGTTTGTACAAGCCGCTGTTTCCATTAGGGGAGTGAAGGGGAGGGGGTTATCACCTGACAAAAAAAGAGCAAATTTCATTTAAATGTACAGCTGGGAAAGAAAATGTGAAGAGGGACAGGCAGGGCCATTTTCTCACTGTTTGATTAAACACAACATCTCTTCCTTCGAAAACACCAGCATTTAACGCAGCTCTGAGTTCAGAGCTATCGTGAGGCACTTGCTAGCCATGGGACCGAGGGCAAGCCGTATCACCTGTCTGCCTGAGTTTGCTCAACAGTAAAATGGGGCTAAGAACAGAACCTGCCTCCCAGGGCTGTGGTGAAACTCAAGTGAGAGACTTGTAAAGGACTTTAGCATAGTGCCTGGCCCAATGTAGGTGGAGGAAAGGCTTCTTCCCTTCCCTTCCTCCTTCCCCTGGGTTTTGTGATGGTTCAGTCCACAGGAACAGAAAGACCTGAAACCTTTCCAAAGGGGAGGCTGGAAGCAAGGCTCCCTAACTTGACACTTTGGGATATAACTCCTAAGCTCAAGTTAGTGTTTCCTTCCTCTTTGAGTGAAAACCAACATGATTCTGAAAGGGGCGTCTTGGGCCTCGCCAGTCTGGCCCTGGGGCACGAGGCTCACAAATGGCTAAGAAGGACTACCAGTGTCCTGTGGTCATGGAGACCCTTGCTGTCTGGAAAAAGGCCCCACCCCTTTCATCTGGGCCCTTCACTGAGAATCCTCAGCTGCTGACTGAGCCCCTCCAGGGGGCAGTGAGAAGGGGCAGGGCTGGGCAGAGAGGCTCAGAGATAGAAGCCCCTGCCTCTGGGGCAAGGACAGGAGCTGGGCCCAGACTGCGACTGTCACCAGGGCTTCCCTACAAAACAGAGGGCTCTCTAGGGGCGTGAGGGAGAGGAGGAAGGCCTGGGCAGGACTGTGTGCTGAGTGGCTACAGACACCAAGGGCCCTGGCCCCCAGGGATCTTGCCACCCACCGCATCTGGGCTTTCACTGGTATGGGTAACTTGCCTTTGGAGACTTCTGTCAGCTAACTCTTTCTCTTGGAGAAACCTGGAACAAAAACCAACACGGGTGTAAATGAGTGACATTTCTGCCAAGCCAAGAGAGCCACAAGAGGGACCCCCCTGCCCTAGGGTGGTTCCCAGCCTGAGAGACCACAGAGAGGCCCATGGCCAGGAGTGCACACTCTCCTTGCTGAATGCAAATCTGCAGGTAGACGGTTCCTACTCTGTGCCAGGCAGTGAGCGAGGTAGGTCCTGGGGAGCCAAAGAGAAGAACAAACCTTTCTGGTCTTTAGGGAGCATACATGATCTGGGGGATACCATCTGCCCTCCTCTAAGGGAAGAGAAAACTTATGACCTCAGAAGGCATGACTGAGTCCAAATGTTCAGCTCCCAGATGTCCATTAATCCAAGTGCTGAGGCATGAATTCTTTGGGCTCTAAGGTTCCAGTTCGGTCAGTTAGAGATCACAGAGTCCTACCAATTCATTTTCTAGAAGCGGAAACTGAGACTCTGAGAGGCTAAATGCTATCCTTGATCTCATAAGTTCATTCATTGCAGGACTGGGGCCAGAACGCAGATTTCCTGATTCTCAGTTCAATGTTCTCTCTGCTTTGACTGGCAGATTGAGAGGAGGGGGGTTTAGGTCTGGGGGAGGATGATCAGCCTGTCTCTTCCTGCCCTAGTCCTGGACGGATGGACCCTCTGCAGGACTCTGTACAGGGGCAGCTAGGTGTGCAGTATAGAGCACCGCCTTGAAGTCAGGAAGCACCTGAGTTCAAATCCCACCTCAGACCAAACACTTGACACTGACTAGCTGTGTGACCGTGGGCAAGTCACTTAACCCCAATTGCCCCCAAAAAAAAAAGACCCTTTGTACAGTCTAAAGGCCCAGCAGGTACACGACCATTTTATGGGCTTTAGCAGAAAGTCAATGGGAATAGGTGGTGAGGGGAGGAGTGCCCCTAGTCAGCAGCTATGGCTTCCCCTTCTGGCCAGCAATACACAAGGGGTCACCTACCTCAGTGTGGGCCACCTCTCTCAAGCCAAGCCCTAGGGTAATCAGGAGTCTTTTACCTACTTCCTCATTCATCAATAATAACATTTCCACCTATTTTTCCATGATTCACCTAAATGCAGAACCCTCAGCCCTTCATGAAATATGTATATTACAATGAAATAAAATAATAATCAAATAATATATCATATTATATTAAATCATCCCCTATTGAATGCCCTGCAGAAACCACCCCACCCCATTTCTGATTGGCCAAAGGCCCCCATGGCCACGTGGTAAAGGCCTTGTCAGGCCTAAGAGGCCCAAGGCAGCACCTCGCAGTAAGACCCCTGATGAAACGCAAGCATAGTGGCTTCAGTGCCTCCAGAAGCTCCTTCTGGGGCTCTGCCCCCCCAGACCCCAGACCCTTGGCCCTCCCACCTAGAGGATGGAAGAGGATCATAAATGAGGCCTTCCTCTCTTAGGAGACCCTCAGAGACACCCTGCCTGGAGGTCTCCCAAGGACGGAAAGGAAGGAGCCTGCTCTGCCCCCTAGGGATAAAGGGATGCAGGCGAAGTCACAGGAAGGGGCAGAGAGAGGCAGAGGGGAGGGCCACAGGGGCACCCACAGGGAGAGAGAGGAGCAGAGGGTATGAAGCAGAGAGGCCCAGAGTTGCTGCTCTGCCCACTAGGGGTAACGGGATGCAGGAGGGCACGGAAGGTGCAGAGAGAGGAGGAGGGGAGGTCCAGAGGGCACCCACAGGGAGGGAGAGGAGCAGAGAGGGTAATAAGTGCTGCTCTGCCCCCTGGGATAAGGGATGCAGGAAAGGGCATGGGAAGGGGCAGAGAGAGGGGAGGGGAGGGCCAGAGGGGCACCCACAGGAGAGAGAGGAGCAGAGGGGGAGGAGCAGAGAGGACCACAGGTGCTGCTCTGCCCCCAGCTAGGGCAAGATAGAGTTAGGCTGGAAGGGGCCTCAGAAGGTCATCTAGGAAAACCTCCTTCTTTTACAGGGGAGGAAACTGAGTCCCAGGGAGGGGAACGGACTGGCCCTCACTCACACTGATGTAAATATGAGAAGCCAAATTTGCACCCAGATCCTACAACTCCAGAGACAGTTGAGGAGGCTCTCAGGGAATCTGTCTAGCCTGTTTCTCAAGTCACCCACACGTCACATAATTTTACTGTTTTAGTTTATAAAGAGAGCTCTGTAGTTTTCTTTCTGCAATAAGTTCCCCTTTTAGCTATAGTAACCCGTGGTACTGAATCAACTCTCTGGTTTTCATGGATTTGTTCAGTCTCTGGCATTTCATTAGTTTGCCAGTCTTCTTCCATTTCTTTCATGTTCTCAGTTCTGCTGGCCTATGATTGATCTCAGTAACTTGGGAGAATTGTCTGTGTTTTCTCTCTATTTACTGTAAGTGCATCTTGGCCATTTGGGCTTTGGTCAATTTGGAATATTTCTTCTCATTCTATCTGTCACCAATCCTCCAAGTTCCTTCCCCTCTTTAAGCCTCCGTTTCCTCACTTGAAAAATGCCCTTTAAAATTTAATTTAATTTAATTTTTTAAAATGCCCTTTTTGACTTGCTTTACCACTAAGAAGCCTTCCACCTGTCAGTACTCTTATCTAATATACCTGCCCTTCTTTCGTCTTCATGTCTTCCTTTACAGTAGCATGGTGAGGTTCTCTTATCTTCTCTAATATCACCTCCTGCTCTACCTTTAGCTGCTCCCAAGTCCATTCTCTGAGCCTCATTTTTTTTGCCTACGTAAAGAGTAGGAGGTTGTATTTGAACATTACAAAGGTCACTTTCAGCGCTGCCCTTCTAAGTTCCTCTACCCCTTCCTTCCCTGGGCATCAGCTTTTTCTTTTTCAACGAATGGGACTGAGATCTAGCAACAACTTATATACATGCCTAGCTCCTCATTACCACCTCAGAGTACCTAGAAATGCACCACATTTAACCGAGAAAACCGATTATTAAAATTAGTAATAGAAACAAAAGCATTTCAAAGAAGCCACTGCAGGGGGAAAATAAAACAGCAAAAATACAGAGGAAATGAGCAAAGACAATTTCTAATACAGTAAAGAAATATGATGGGGTAAGAAAATCTTAGTTTGAAACTCCAGAAGAGGAGATATTTCTGCCAAAACTCCAACTAGAATCCTAGACGAGAATGCACTGGACTGGAGAGCCTCAATAGGTGGAAAGTTCAAGAAAGGAACTGAAGGAAGAGAAAAAGAGTGAGATTACAGTTCTTAATGAAAAAAAAACTGAAAAGGAGGATTGATGATTTTGAACATAAACTGGACCATCTTTTTGTTGGTTTTGAGACTGGGTCTCCCTATCTCCCCCAGGCTGGGAGTCCAGCTGCGTGACATTCAGATGCCTGAACCCACCGCTAATCCACACTCTGTTTCTGGCCTGAACCGGTTTGCTTCCCTTGCACCAGCCTGCTTGTGCCCTCCTCTAGGGAGCTCACCATGTTGGTGTCACACAGGTGTACCTACCTGATCAGCTCTGGCCCTTCTGCCGCAGGTGGTTCAGGGATGGAGCGCTGGGCCTGCAGTCAGGAAGCCTGACTCCTCTGGCCTCAGACACTTACTTAGATGCACAATCCTAGGCAAATCACTTCACCTATGTCTCTGTCAGTTTCCTCAACTGTAAAACAGGGATAATAAAAGCACTTACCTTTCAGTGTCGTTGTGAAAATCAAATGAGCCAATATGTATTCATAAAAGCCCTTAGCACAGTACCTGGCACATAATAAAGGATTATTCCCCTCACCTTCCCTTCACCCATCTCAGGATTCCCAAGCTCGATTGATCCACCAACCTCAGCTCTCCCCCTCCCCCCTTTCACCCTCCTCCCCCAGCAGCAATATTACAGGAGTGTGTCACCATTCCTAGCCCAGAAACGAGAAAATCTGAGCAAAGCCATGCATACCACGAAAGAAAGAATGGATGACAGAAAACCAAAAACATTTCATGAAATAACCGGAAATGGTACAGCTCCTGCGACCAGCCAGCCCTCTCATTGGTCCCAAGATCTTTAGATTTTTGGAACTCACAAGGTTGTCACCAATCCTATGGGATGCTCATTCGCCTAAGATCGAGAAAGAACAAACATAAAAGACGCAGAGGCAGCCAGAGGCCCTAGTGCAAGCTTGCTTCACTGAGGCCGCTCCAGATGGGGAGCAGGGGCGTGGTTGCCATGGCACCAGGATGGAGAAGGACCTATCATTTTCTACCCCTCACAGGAATGGCATCATGACGCTGACAGAGTCACAGCTAAGATGGAAGTCAGAAAGGAGGAGAGAAGCAGGAAGCTGGCAGCTCCCTTTTGTACATCCACTGAGTCATTAGCTTTTTGAGCTCAGCAGCCAATTAGGGAACACCTTGTCATCTAAAATTATGAGCTATTCAGTCCTGACCTGGCCAGAAGTGGCCAGAAACCAGCCCTCAGCTCCCTTTTGCTCAGCCAGAAACATCCAGGGAATATTCCCTGTTTCACACATGTGACGCTTCTACATACACTCACACATACATGCGTGCACACACACACCTGTGTGTATGGGGAGAACAGAGTGCTTTCTGCATCTAGCTGGTTGTTCAGTAAAAAGCAAGGAATAAGCATCTCTTTCCTATAGGTCTGGGGATCTATAGTCTGACTGTATACAATTTAATGATATTTTTAAAGCATTTATTAAGTGCCTACAGGATACATGGTTTTAGGGATATAAAGAAAAATTAAACATTTGATGCCCTAAAGGAACTCTTTTTGGACAGAAGCCAGCCCCCGCCTCACTTTTGCTCAGCCAGAAACAGCCAGGGAATATTTCCTGTATAACATGTGACGCTTCTACATACACTCTCACATACACATACCTATGTGTACGGGGAGAACAGAGTGCTTTCTGCATCTAGCTGGTTGTTCAGTAAAAAGCAAGGAATAAGCATCTCTTTCATCTCATTGTATACATCGTAATAATTTTTTTTTTTAGTGAGGCAATTGGGGTTCAGTGAGTTATCCAGCGTCACACAGTTAGTAAGTGTCAAGTGTTTGGTCTGAGGCCGGATTTGAACTCAGGTCCTCCTGACTTCAGGGCCGGTGCTCTATCCACTGTGCCACCTAGCTGCCCCAATGTAATGATATTTGTAAAGCATTTATTAAGCGCCTACAGGGTACATGGTTCTGGGGATATAAAGCGAAATTAAACAGTTGATGCCCTAAAGGAACTGTTTTGGGGACCAAAGCAGGGAGAGGAAGCAACGTGTTCGTGTATGTGTGTGGGGGGGAGGTGTGCGTGTGCTCAAAACACGTGGACAATAAATGCACTCTCCTTTTGGTGGGTCAAGAGCATTCCTGTCCGGATCAAGCAAGTCCCCCTGGGGTCATCTGGCCTGGGCTTTGAAGGGAAGGGATCTGATGATGCTAGGTGAGAGGGAGAGTCTTCAGCTCTAGGTAATGCCTGTGCCTCGGCAAAGTCCTGCAGTTTGCAATACTGCTGTTCCATCCACCTCAGAAATTCTGAGCAGAGTGTTAGCAAGGTAAAGGAGGGCCTGAACTCGGCTGGGGAAACTAGGTGGTTGCCCAGGGTTGAAGATTTAGAATGCCCATTTGCCCTTTTGATTCATGGGAGGCATTTCTTAGGCTAAGCGACCTCTGGTGGCTGCATAGCCTTTCCTCCTCTGCGCCATTGGTCCACAACACTTATGCTCTACATCCAGTGTAGAAATTTTGCGTTTCTAAGGTGCCACTCTACTGATCCTCCCCGTTTGTTCCAGAGAAAGTATTGTTATCCTCGCTCTGAGGGAGCAGGGAGGTTAGGTTTCCCTTACAGTGAAGGGTGAAAGAATGTTGCTCAAAAAGGCCAACAATATAGGGAGTTTGTAGGCCACAGACTTAACTCTAGGAGTCCCAGGGTAATGGGCCAGATGATGGGCAGGCAGGGTTGAAGTGGAGGAGGGGAGGAGGAAGGAGTATTTGGGGAAGAAGGATAGGTGGGCTGGCTGCTTCCACTTTGGTCTGGGAGACTGGATGACCCAGCCCGGGGAGCCAGGACATCAGGAGGGTGGACAAAGCAAAACCAAAAGGGCATTTGCAGAGTCATGCCCAGATGTTAGGGGAAAGTTTTAAAAGGGGAGGCAGGGATGGGGGGTGGTAGACACATAGCCTACTGTTATGCAGCACTGACTCCAAGGACGTCTCTTCCTGGGGGCTCATTTTGGCTGGACGCTGTGTGGCCTGGCTCCCTGGGAAAGGTAGCCACCAACCACAGCAACAATTTCTGTTCAAAGCTATCTCCCTCCCACTTTGTGTCAGAGGGCAGAACTGATTCCAGGGAGTGGAGAAACCTGAGGGACACATTGTGGGTAGACAGGAAGGAATTGTTCTAACCACTGACACCGGTCAGAAGTGGAATAGGCCACTGTAGGGGCAGGAAGTAGCAAGAGGCTTGCTTGGGATTTTGGCGATGACCTCAGAGGTCCCTGCCGACTCCAATCCTGTGAAATCAGTGCTGCAAAGGAGCCCTGAGACAAGGTAGCCCGTGCAGGCCCTACTGTCACTTGTTCATCCTAAAACAGAGCTGAAGCCAGGCCAAGGAATGAGAATTGGAGAGGAGAGAAAGAACAAGCAAAGGAGAAAGAGGAGATAAGCCCTGTGCTAGGTCTGCCTCATACTTTCAGGTGACCTTCCTCAGCTTGGCTTCCCCCACATCCTTCCTCTTCCTCCTCTTGCAGGTCCTCAGGGACCCCCCCCAGTTTCAGAGACTACTTTAGTATCCAGCTCCTGCCAATACTTTGTGTCCTTAGGCTTTCTCAATCCCTAAATCTGACTCCCTCCCACACCCACATCCATGTAGACTGATGCTATGTACCCAATATGTATTTCTCAGGTCCAGGAGCAACTTAGAAAGAGGCAAAGGAAAGCAGAGCACGGAAATATATGCCCCCCAGTGAGTGAAAAATGAGTGGACGGGCTGCATTCCAAGGTGAAAAGCCCAATCACAAGAAAGAGGAAGCTGCCTATGATGGGGTTTCTATGGAAAACTGTGACATGGGAGAGAAACCAGTAGAGGCAGTAGTAACAATTAATGTTTTAAAAGTGCAAAATGTAGTAGCCCAGGCAGCAGCTGCCATTCCTGAAGCCAGGAGGGAAGGCCAAGTAGGCCAGGGAGCCACTGTGAATCCCAGCACCTCTGGGAATTTAGATCATCATCACCTCTCCAGAAGAGGCCCAAAGGTCAGGAGAGAATGGAGGAAATATGACCGACAAGGCACGCTGCTCTGTAACGGTTTAGATGTGTGTGACTGCCTACAGTGTTCAGGTTGCTTCTTCTTCCATGCCCCAAGTGTAGCTCCAGGAAATGTAGAGTCAAATGCCGCTGCAATCGCAAATGGGTTTATAACGAGGTGGAAGAGCAATATGCAGAAGTTCTCAGCATGCTTCCAGCAAGATCCCAGTAGCACTGGCTCCCTTTTCTTTCCAATGCCGAGATAGCCTCTTTCTTAGTGAGTTTTAAGGTGTGGGCAAAGAGATGGAATGGCACTAGTGACAACTGAACATTCCAGTGTTAGGGACCAATAAGTGTCCCATTCCCTTGTGGACTACTATTAAAGTTTATCGAAAAACGTGTCTTCTTTCACTTTAGGATTGCTTTATGTAGAAAATAGAATAAGTGATCTCTGCCCTGTTATCCTTCCACCTTCACTTATCACTACAGCCAGTTCAGAAGTGTCCTTTAGATTTTTTTTTTAATTTTTAGGCAATTAAGGTTTTAGATTTTGAAAAGAGAAAGGAGCCTTATTTTCTAAAGCTAGGGGCTAAATTGGATGCTACAATTAGTACTTGAAGATTTGAAAACAAAACAAAACAAAATAACACCAACCACCCAAGACAACTTGGGTATAGTTATACTTGGTGAGGTTAGAAATAGTTGATTATGTTTATGGTATTAATAAGTTCCTGCCTATAATCCTTTTTCTCTCTAGCATTGTTACAGATTGTTAGAGAAATATGGATTCCCTCTGACTTTTGTTTTTCAGAGGACACTTGTATTTTAAACAAAAAAAAACAGTTTTATTTTATTTTATTTTTAGGCAATTGGGGTTAAATGACTTGCCCAGGGTCACACAGCTAGTAAATTAAGTGTTTAGTCTGAGGCCGGATTTGAACTCGGGTACTCCTGACTTCAGGGCTGGTGCTTTATCCACTGTACCACCTAGCTGCCACAGCAATTTTAAATTGAAAGGAATTTTTTAAATCAGAAAGCATTTGGATACATTTTTAATAAATGTTTGGGGGCTTTGCCTTGAGACAACCCTAGCAGAGCTCTGGACAATCATATCCAACTGGGTATGCCTAGGGATAGGCAAGATTGTCTCACTGACAGGGGCAAGGGAAGAAAGATACATATACGAATTACACTAAAGTATATTACTAGTATAAAGAAAGAGAAAATGTAGAAAAAAGGAGAGAGGGATTGAGGCCAGGGAGACACAAGGGAGAAAGGGGGCATCAAATAGACGGGCATAGAAAAGGAGAGAAGGAGGGACACAAGGCAGAGGTAATGAGAGAGAGGGATGAGAGAGAGAAAGGAAGATGAAAGAGAAAGAGGAAGAGAGAAACAGCATGTGTAGTATTATGCCTATAAGATCCCCAATGAAGGTGCAGGAATACAACAAAAGGCAGAGACCTCCACTTCTCCCATCTGGTCATCACATCAGAGATGTGACTGTAAAGGGGCCCTTACCACAAAGCCTCCTGAAGGAGAACCCTCCACCCTTGCCCACCCTGGCCTTTCATCCTGTGCCATCTCTTCCTGGCCACCTCATGGCTTAGGGGCTCCTGGACACTCCCCAGACATACACAGTTTCATTGGGACTGTTTTCCTTCACCTTCTTGGTTTCTCAGGTAAAGTTTGATTCATACGTTGAAATAATGAGCAGAATATCTAACATGGACCCCACAGGTAGCACCTCTTGGTTATTTGGGTGAGAAAGAGGAGCCAAAAATGACTCAGAAATTTTAACCACGGGTGATGGGAAGGTTGGCAGCACTCTCAAATACAAGAAAAATTGACCCCATCCAGTCCTGTGACTCGTCCTCCACAGATTTTCTAAGGACAGAGAGTTCTTGATCATCTAGATATTTCACTTTTTCTTTTCCTA